GGGACTTGCAGCCAGTCCTCTCACTTACAATTGTTGCAGCATCCCCACGGTTATGTGATCGCAGTCTGAGCACTTGGCAACCAGGTCGCACTAACGACAGTTGCAGCATCTTGGGGTCACATGATTGCTATTTGTGACCTTCCCAGCCAGCTTCCGGCAAACAGAAACAATGGGGAACCACATGATTCGCTTAATGACCATGTGATTCCCTTAATGGGTGCTGCAAAAAAAGTAATAAAATCAGGCGCGACTTGCTTAACAACTGCCCCGCTTAAAAACTGCCCCACTTTACAACAAATTTTCTGGTCCCTATTGTGGTCGTTAAATGAGGACTACCTGTATTTTTATTTGAATATGTGTTTTCCTTGGTTTTGCTTTTGAATTTTCCTTTGTAAAGCAAAGTTATAGATACAAACAATTAACATTTTTTATCCTTATGAACCTCTTTCAGATTTGCTCCTTTCCTGGTTGTCCTTTATTTTTCCCAAGAAAGTATGGTCACCGTAATTATGTTTGATCGTAAATTGCCGGAGTGGGAATGATTCAGTTGCATATAGGTTTAATAAATATACTGTAGATGAATTCGTCCCTGAACGAGGTGGCTAGTTGAAGTCACCCTGTCAGCCCTGTGATTGAGGCTGGATCAGAACCCAGCATCCCCAATCTAGGGCCAACCTCCTAACCGCTACTCCACCGCCACCTTTACTGCAGCGAGCAAGTCAGATGCCGTGTTGAGGAAGGCTGTGCTAGATTTGGAAACAGATCCACTCTTGGGCTCTGCTGATTTCTGTTCCCTTCGCCCTGCAGTCTCGGGAGCTGGAGGTCTCGGTCTACTGGCATGATTGGCGCAAACTCTGCGGGGTGACCTTCCTGCGTCTGGACAGCTTCCTTGATAATGCCTGCCACAGCATGGCTGTTTCTCTCGAACCCCAAGGGAAGCTCTTCGTAGAGGTAAGGGGAGTTGGACGCTTCCCTTCTACCACTGGGTAGCATCTCCACTTTTCCCAGGAAAGACACAGCTGCTTTCAGAAGTAGCTGAGGTGCTTCAAAATGTTTCATAACTTTAGTTTTAGTTCCAAAGAGATTTTTTCGATCTCCCCAGAAGCATCCTCATCTTCCTTGCCCTTAAAACAGCCTAGTTTTGAGTCCAGAACATCTCCGGTGAGATTCGAGTGATCCAAACCATTGAAACTTTGGCATACCACTACAAAGCATGAGCAGGATCTGGAAACATAGCCCTTGGAGTCATTTTTCTTCCTTCCTCCATAGGTAACGTTCAGCAACCCTGTCATTGAGACCCACGCCAAGCTGCAACGCCAGAAGCGCATTTTCCCTAAACAGAAAGGTAGGAGATCTTCATAGAAGGACACATGAACATCATAGATGCCAATATTTTTCCCCACGTTAAGAATTTCCATGCATCGCCCAATGATGGTGGTGATGATTGAAAGCTGAACAGCTCTCCTGCATCATCAATCAGAACTCAGTTGAGTTTTGAGGGGAGATGCTGGAAAATGACATCCAGAATTAAGGATGATCCACTTGGGGGCCACCACCAGGAAGACCCACACAGGCCACCATTTGAGAATCGCTGGCTTTGCCTGTCCTTCTCTGCAGGAAAAGAGTTCCTCCGAGCTTCTCAGATGAACGTCAACATTGCCACCTGGGGACGTTTAATGATGAGTCTTCTGCCCCCGTGCAGCTCCCTGAATGCTTCGAGCCCCCCTTTCCGAGGATCCCTGCATCCAGATGTTGCCTCTGCAGCTGCTGCTGAGGACAACTGGGGGCCTGTGGGGGCCAGGTGAGCCAATGTTTGAGGCCCTGCAGGTGGAACTGTTTGCAAATGCATATGTATACAAGGCAATTTTGTTTAGTTCTGTGTTTGTTTTTTAATTTAGTACAATGTGTTCAATCATGTGGTGGGTGATCTAGAGTGGAATACTGGTCACACTTTTCTAGGAATAGATAATACCTCAAATCCTAAGAACACTACCACTGGATCAGGCCAAGGCCCCTCTTAATCCAACAAACTGTTTCTCCATGGGCCAACCAGATCCCAAGCAGGAGATGGAGAACTTCTCCTCTTCCACTGTTAAGTCTCTTGCAAGTGAGATTTGGAGACAGGCATCTCCCAACCCAGAGGTAACATGGAGTCTTCAGTTGGCCTATCCTCCATAAATTGATCCAGTCTCCTTTGAAAGACATCCATTATGGTCTTGTGGCCAGGAGTTCCACAAGCTGATACTGCACTACAGGAAGAAGGTTTTCTTTTGTCTGTTCTGCATCTCCTTCCAATCAGCTTCATTGGGTGACTTCTGGTTTTGAAAGAGGAGGAAAACTTCTCCCTTTGTTCCCTCCAGGCATAATTTTACACACCTTGGTCCTCTTCCCCTTTGGTGACCATTTCTGCAAGCGATTAGAGCTTTTTCCAAATATGGTGGCCAAGTCAGGAAAAACAAGAATTCAGATGGTGGACGGAACACAAGAGACCCTGTTCGTATCTAGCAGAGGCTGGAGAGATATTTCTTGGGGGTGCTTTGATTTGGAATCCTGCCCTGAGCAGAAGTTTAGGACCTATCCTATGGAATCCATGATCCTATAAACCTGGGTATCCTAGACCATTGGAAGAGACCCTTGAGACCATCCAGTCTAGTGTTTTTCAATCTCAGCAACTAAGATGTTTGGACTTCAAATCCCAGAATTCCCCAGCCAGCACACTAGGGAATTCTGGGAGTTCTTCAGCCAGCACACTAGGGAATTCTGGTCAAGGATTCCCAGCTTTATAGGATCACAGAATCACGTAGGATAGGTCCTGAACCTTCTGCTCAGAGCAGGAACCCAAATTAATGCATCCCCAAGAAATATCTCGGCAGGAGATACTAGCAAAGATCCACCATGTCTCTTAGTCATTAGTGCCTTGATTAAAATGTTCCTACCATTAGAATGTTTTTCTTAAGATTTAGTTGGCATCAACCTTCCTCTGACTAAACTCCATTCTTCTGTGTCCCATCCTCTGGGGTGACAGAACCAGTCTGGACGTCCTTCAGTCTGGCACATCTTCACGTGTCTTTGGCCAAGCCAGAAAATGGGTTGATCAAGCCAACTTCCCTATTTGTAGAACAACCTTCTCTAGTCGGGCGTCTTCCAGAAGTGGCCGAGCAACCACTCCCATGGTTCTGAACCTGTTAGATTCCTGGGAGTTGGAGTCCCAATCCACCATCCGAGGGTGTTGGGCGGACAAGGCTGATGTAGACATTTGGAGAGAAAAGGAGACTTTAGAAATGTAAAAATGTCTCTTCCACATTCAGCACCTCCCCGCCAGGGAAGCTGATTTTGGGAAACCAGCCCCCACCCAAACCACCGCGCCTCTTTCTGCCGTTTCCTCGCGAGGAGCCAGCCCCGTCTCCAACAGATCCAGCAGTAAGTCTGTTTCTGGTGGTTGAATGGTCTTGTTCCTGCTCCGTTGGTCGTTTGGTTCTGATGAGTTTTCGGTCCTGTTGGTTGAAGTTCTGGAAGTTGTAGACTCCGAGCACCCAAGGGTGTAGAGTTAGTTCATGCGATCTACCCAGCCCTTTTCTCAAATAAAGGAAAAATAGAGGAATTCTGGAGGAGCAGCTGTTCTCCAGCGTTGTCTGACTTATTCTGCCTAATGGTAGAGCTGGCCCTATTTAAAAAAAAAGAAAGGGAACTTTGTTCATCCAGAGCGGAGCCAAGTGCTGGCATTTTAATTCATGTAGGTTTTCCACGGGAAGGTCTGTTAAGGCTTACAGCTCTCTCAAACTTCTGCCAGCCCTAGGAATGGGACTACAACCCCCATTGCTCACAGCCAGCGGAATCTAGAGAGCATCATAGGATGTGCTTAGCACCTCTGAGAATGGGTGGTTTTGCACAAGGGCTGAATGCACGTAAGGAAGGGTTCATAGCTAGAAGGCTGCAAGTTTTTAAGAAATCGGATTTCACCCTGAAAGGCAAAAAGCTGTGAATCTTGTTTTTTTTTTAATGCTGCTCGAGGCTCCCTCCAACCACAGGGGTCCAAAATGGAGGCAACATGGCCTATCAGTGCAAGCAAAAAGCTTTTAAATTGCAAAGAAAGCCCCCGAACTAGGATTCCCCCCGCCACGATTCTGACCCAACCCATCTGCCTCCAAATCTCTCTTCAGCTCCCCAGACTCCCAAATATTAAAAACTTAAAAGCTGAAAGGCTGTGGAAGATGGGGCTTGTGGTGGGGGGAGAAGACCCCCTAGTGCCCAAGCATCAGCACCCACTGGAGAATTTTTTTTGCGGGGGGGAGCCTGCATTGCAATGTTTAGATGCTGTTCCCGTTCAGGACCTGGAGGTGAGGTGGAATAAAATTATTTCTCTCTTGGTGGGCATTACAACCAGGCTAAGGGAAGCTAGGTGGTTCCTCCAGTTTACAGAGGGAGGGGGCTAAACTGGAGCTACTTTTGTGGCTCCCTTCTGTCCTCTAGGTCGCCTACGCATTTGTGGATCACCTAGTGGCCTCCCTTTCTTCCTTGTGTTCTGTTTTTAGAATCAGAAAATTCCCTACCTCTACGAAAAAACGTGCAACTTTCAAGAGGCTGCCGCCAGGTACGAACCAAAGAGCGAGAGGTGTTACCGACTTGGCTATGTTTTCAGCAGGTTTTTTAAAATCCTTTTCTGCAACCCGGCGCCCTCCTGTTGGGTGGGGACATCCACCTGCTGTCTGGCCAGGGATGATGGGTACTGAAGGGCAGAGACAACCTCTTGCAGAGGGTTGCTTTCAAACTCAGAAATGGTTTCTCATTGACCTCGCTGGCATCCTTCCCAACAAAGCCCACAGACGGAAGGGTTGCAATGGCTCTTGTTTGGTAATTTATCCGAGAGGGCCCCCAGTGCACGCATACCCTGCCGGATCCCATAGGATGGGCTGAGCTTATCCATGAATGGGCTTATCTGTGAGTTTACAGGTAGTCCTCGATGTATGACCACAATTGGGACTGGAACTCCTGTCGCTAAGTGATGCAATCATTAAGTGAGTCACACCTGATTTTATATCTTTTTTGCCACGGTTGTTAAGCGAATCCGGCTACCCCCATTGACTTTGCTTGTCAGAAGCCCCCCCCCCAGGAAGGTCGCCAATGGTGATCACGTGACCCTGGGATACTGCAACCGTTGTAAATACATGCCAGTTGCCAAGCACCCAGATTTTAATCCCATGACCGTGGAGATGCTGTGACGGTCGTAAGTGCAAAGACTGGTCATAAGTCACTTTTTCAGCACTGTTGTAACTTCAAACGGTCGCTAAACGAATGGTCATAAGTCGAGGACTACCTGTATACGGTAATACTTTTTTAAAGTACCTGTATATCCCGTACGTACTCACATATAAGCCCATCCGCAGATAAGCTGATTGTGATGGAACGTATCTACGAGGAGGAGGGTGATGTGGGAGATGAAGGCTATCGGGAA